GGTGATGGTGTAGGCTGCAGCCTCTGCAGCAGTGGGCTGCGGTGAGCTACCGTGAGTGGCTGGCAACCAGTGTGAGCGGCCGGCAGTCGGTGTAAGTGGAGGTCCAATGGCTGGCAAGCAAGTGCCTCACCCAGGAAGAGCGCAATGATAATACCAACATGCGCCAGTGAAGCAACGTCCTGCACAACTAGACTGAAGAACAAAAAGACAGCAACTTCCCTGTTCCCCTCTCCCAATTCCCCAATAAAATCTTTAAAAAAAAAAAAAATTTCCCCTGTAGTGATTTATTATTCTGAATTTTACATTTACTTCAGTATTTCCTCGAATATCACTCATGGTCTTTCTAGAATTTTCTCTTGCTCTGTAAATATCCATTGCTATTTTTATTTGTTCTCATATTAGGAAAGAGCGACATCTCTGGCACATTTTAGGAGGTTCCCCCCCCTTTATCTGCTTCCTTTTGCTTCTTGGGACAATGATATGGTCTCTAGGATCATGAACCTAAAGGATTGAAAAGTGTATTTTTGTAGTCTACTGTTGAGTATGTAGTAAAACAATCCTACGAAAATCAGCACTCCATCAAAGGAAATCATCTTAATTATATATTTCAAAGAGAAACATGCCATATAGAAAATGTTTGTATCTACCTTGACCAATAATTAGACTAAGTATATCACAAGAGAAATAAAGTTCATAAAATATTTTGAAATAATCAAAAACCAGTTTAGTAAGCTATTATCCACTCTTTTTAAGCATAAACATAGGTTATCTCATTCTTAAGAGATTAAAGAAAATAACAGGAAGAATAATTGCTTATGTAAAATATTACTATTGAACAGATATAATGGTAGACTAATGAAAAGCATCTCTCATATACTTCTCTATTTAAACCAATTAGTAGCCATCTCTTGCCTACTAGGTTGAGAGCAAAAATAATGTTTATCTTTTCCACAGCCTTTAGAACACATTTGACTTAAATTAAATTTCAATGAGACCAACTTGCAAGAATTCTCTTTGGTCTCTGGATCAGTGACAAATAACGTTCTGCAAGAATCAGAGTTAACCTTTGTTTCAATTCTTAGCTGATGTTATTTTTCGACTTAAAATGGTAGTTATGAATTTTTAAAAATTATTCTTTCCTTTGCTCACTCAGGTAAGTTTAAGAATATTCACTTAACAAATAAGTCAATGAATGTTCCTTTCCCAGTGGACTGTTTATACACAGTATTTTCAGCAGTGGGAAAACATAGGAACCTCAATTTTTCTAGGTATTAAAAACCAATCTGTTTTATGTCTTCTTAGGGGTCTACAGTGTTCTACACACGGTGGCATGTACCCGCTGTTTTTTTTTTTTCTTTAAATCAAAGAACTCCAATTTATCACAGCTGGAAATTTCAGCTCCCTTGTACCAGACTTAAATACAAAGAGGCATTAGTGTTACATGAACTCTATTAATTTACTTTTAGATTGAATAACACGTACAGAATGTCTGAGTCTGAAACTATTCGCCTTAAATTTGTTCAAATAATGGATGGATGCACAATTACAAAAATAGATTCTTTCCTCCTTGTGACTACCGCAATGACTTCCTACTTGGGCTTCTGGAGCTAGCCAGTGATCTTTGCAAAATTCAAATCTGCAAAAGGGAGTCCCTATCTCCCTTCCGAAAGAACAAAACTTAAAGCGTGTAAGGTTCTGCGTCCTTCCCCATCAACCTTCCCCACGCCCCTCCAGCCTCAGTTCCTCATACTTTAAAAGCTCCCTCTTGCAAAAGGCTTTCCAACGTGTTCTTCTTTCTGTCTGGAATGTTCTTCCCTTAGTTAACTCCCGCTACCCCTTCAACTCTCAGGTCGATGCTCACTTGCTCGGAAAAGCTTTCCCTTAGCTTCCTAAGCCAAATTCTGTATCTCAAGTTCTCCTGTCACCATGTAACTCTCCTTTGTAGCACTCACCGCTGTTGCACTCTCACACTCGTTTGTGCGTCCATTTTATTTAATATCCGTCTGTCTCACTAGGCTTAGAGGTCCACTAAGGCAGGGGCCATATCAGTTCTTCCACGCGGTAGAAGCTCAATAAATAAGCGAAGGACCGAATGCACGGAAAATGCCTTCTAACGTGTTTGATGAAATCAGGGCACACACTTGCACACGAAAAGCGAAAATATCAAGGAAAGGGTCTTGTTTCAGAATGGCTAGAGACATAAACATAAGCGCAGCTGTGAAGCGCAGTAAACCCTTCGACTCAAACTCCGGGAGACGACGAGTCTGGAGAAAATCGCCTGAGAGATGCGGGCAGGGGATTTAAACAACTCCGAGGCCGATTCAACGGAGACTTGGCAGAGAGCCTCCGGTGTCTACTCTGTTAGCAGCGCCGCAGGGTACCCGAGACTCCCGCTAGCCTCTCCGCTCAGACGCCCCCTTCCGCCCCGCTCGGTCACCACCCCTCCTGCTCTTCTTTTCCAGCGAGGGGACGGAAAATTCATACACAATCCGGTTCAGCATCCGGGTCCTCACCCTCCTTCTTTCTTTCCTCCAGGCCCCGCCCTCCTCCCCATCCGGGTCCCCCCAGCCGCCACCACAGCCGCTCACGGTTCAACGATGAGATCACAGCCTTCGCGCCGCCGGTCCGGGAGTACCAGTACCCAGAGTCAACTCCCCACTTTATAGTTCAGACCAAGGCTCCTCCTGACGCCTACATGAATCCTTTCCCCTACTTCATCCCAGAACGCTCCGCTCTCCTCAGCAGCCAGCAACACCGCATTACTCGATGCAAGAAAATGCGCCATCCTGGTCACACTGCGCAGGCGTCGTTGCCGCCTCCCAACTGCTTTGTCGCCCCGCCCCTTTCCCCCCGTCGGTCTCACGCAGGCACGGGGCATTGCGGGTCTTGTAGTTATCACGGGCAAGGGCTCGCGCACTGGTCCCGCAGGTTGGACTACATTTCCCGGAAAGCTTTGAGGCGTAACTTTCTGTTTCCATAGAATTGGTGGGAAAATGGCGTCGTTGTTTGTATCCAGGGGACCAATAAGAACAGGGTGTAGGCGGGTTCTAAAAAACTCTAGCCAATCCGAGGTCGTCTAAGAGGCAATCCGGGAAAGAGGTAGGGGAGGGAAACAGCCTAGGGGAGGGGTGAGCGGAGAGAAGGGGGGACTCGGGGTGGGGGGGGAGAGATGTTTGCCCGTCAGTCGAGTGCGGAGTGAGGAGCTCGGGCGCTGGAGCGGAGGAGACTCTTGAGCTTAGCCTGCCGCCGCCACGGCCACCGCCTGGACCTTTGCCTGGAGAGAGCCGCAGAGGGGCTGTGGCCTCAGTCCTCTGGAGGGCAGCGCGACGGGGACCCGGACTCCAGTCCGGGAGGATTTTTCGTCGTCCCCCTCCCCCCAGCGAGTGAGCCCGAGCGGCCGCCAAACAAAGGTACCAGTCGCCGCCGCGGGAGGAGGAGGAGCCGGAGCTTCAGCCTCGGCCGCCGCTGGACCCGCCGCCCTTCTCCCCCATCTCTCCCCCGGGCCTGCTGGTTTTGGGGGGGAGCCGGGGAGGGGACTCTGGACGCTCCGGGGTCGGCGCTCGCCTCCCAGAAAGGTAGGGCATTTCGGAGGCTTTCGCGGGCTCGTCAGGGCTCCTTTAGGGAGTCCCCGGGCCCGGCCGACGAGTGGGGAGGATCGCCGTGGTAGACTCGCCAGGGGCCGGAATTCGGGGCCTCGGCCCCGGAACCCCCGTCCCCCGCGGTTGCCCCAGCCCGGCGGCCGCGCTCACGGTTCGGCAGGGCCGCGGTGGGGGCCCGGCGAGCGCGGGGGCTGTGCCGCCTCCCGCCCTCTCCTCCCGGTCCCCTGTCCCCGCGGCCGGCAACGGGGTCCGCTCCACTTGTGGTTCCACGTCTCGGAACGGGACGTGGGGCCGCGGCCCCAGCGGGTCGGTCCTGCGGCGGCTCGCCGGGCCTCTGAGTCCGCTGCCCTCTCGGACACGGGGTGCACCGAGGCCAGGTCGGCCCCGGCTTGTTGTGAGTTTCTTCTCTGACAGAAATGGCGTCATTGTCGGAGACGGGAAACTCCGTCGGGTCCCGACAATGGGGACGCGAAGCTGCGGAGCTGTGTGAGTGGCGGGGTGTGCGGGGTGGTGGGGCCAGAGGGAGCCCCGCATCGGCATCTTTGCGGTTCGACGGTCTTTCTAGGCTTCTCCGCCTCCGCCCGTGCAGTGGGTGCCTGTGGTGTTGACTGGGTGTCTTTTGTTTCCCCTCCAGGTGCAGGTAAATCTGGTGTTTTCGAGGGGATCGCGGTCCCGGAATCATCATGAAGGTAAGATTGCCTACAGAAAACGAACCTCACGGGTTGTAGAATTAAGGAAAATGGGGGTTGGATCGAGGTCGTGGGTCCTCAGAGTGTTGCCGAGGAAGGTGTGCGCTTGGTGGCTGGGTGCCCGAGCCCTTCCCCGGAGACGATGGGGTCAGCTGGTGTGGCTATTTATCTGTGGGCCGTGCTGTGGAGTTGGAGCCAGTTACAGGCTATCGCACCGAGGATCGTTCTCCCATATAGGACGTCTCTTTTTGCAGGGAATAAGAGGAATAGCTGCATGCATTAGAGTATTTTAAAAGGTGAAACAGAAAAAGCAGGTCAAGTAATCTGACTCTAGAACCTGAACTGTATTGTGGTTCTATCGGTTACACTGATGAAAGAAAATCTCATTTATTGTGTTAACAGTACTGTGAATTTTTAGCGGAAGTCGTATTTGATTAGCCACGAAAATAATCTTAATTGAAAGATTTTTAAAAGGAATTTTGATGATCTTTACACAACTCCAGAGATAGCAGCTGTTCATTGTATTTCCAGGGATTTAGGAGTGTATGGCTTATTTGTCTTTATTGATCTGTTTGTTCAGTGAATTGTTAGTTGTTGTATTGCATTGTGATAAAACTGATGTGGAAAACCGATGGCCAGGTCCCTTTTAAATGTAAACGTGTTAACTGAATGGAGGATATTGTCTAAAAAGTACAATTTGCCTAACTGGTGGAAGAAATTATAGCAATAAAAGTACAGGCTGCTTTTTCACTTTAGAGAATATATATTGGATGCTGTCATGATTGTAAAGGCACTCTAGAATAAAAGCTTTAGATTTCTGAAATTCAACTGGTGGAACTTAAGAGACTAGCAGATATTTTTCATCTGTTACAAATTCAGAAGTGCTTGAAAAGGGTTGAGTGCGTTCACAAGTATAGAAATACAACATAGTATGTTAAAAATGCAAATTATCTACTTTTGACAGTTCCTTTGAACTATTTTTTAAAACAAATTTACTTCACTTTTATTCAGAATCAAGACTGCTTTTATAGTACTGCATCCATATTAAAATTTGTAATGCTTGTGTTTATGGAAGAAAGTAAAAACTGTGGCTACTTAAGTATTTATCAGCTCTACAAAGTAATTAAGTTCAGTCCAGTTTTTTTCTCTTTGGGCTTGGGGCGGTATAAACTACCTGAGACGTTCATATCTGCTGAATTCCTGCCTTACCTTCATGTAAATGAAAAAACTATCAGTGATGTTTCAGAAATGAATCCCTTTTGTTAGTTACAGGTGCTAGCTACAACTCCTGTGACCTGTGTAAAGCAGTGACAAGTGAGTTTATTAGGTAAAACGTATCTTTCTTGGTATTGGATGACAATTTCTCAAAAATTGTTGGGTCGAATGATATGTAATGAGTTCAAAAGCTGAATAATACAGGATTTCGTTTGGAGTAAATGTAATCTGTCACCGTTGCTAGTGAAGTGCCTGGCACGTCTTAGGGACTCTGTTAATGTTTGGTTGAAATGTAGTAAGTTGTAGATCTTTTATTTAGATTTAAATTTTCTTTTCCTTTTCTTTCTTTCATTTCCTTCTTCTTTCTCCCACACCCCCTAACTTGTCTGTTAAAAAAAATGAAAGTACGTTGGAAACTTTAGCCTTAAAAGTTTCATAGTATTAGGCAAATGCAAATTTTGGGGTATCATTTTAGAACTACTAATTTTAAATGCTCAGCATTTCCATTATTGCTGATTTTAAAAAAAGTATTAGTAATGTTGAAAGGAAAGAGTTATTAATATAAATTTCTAATTTTATACAAGAACTTCCTGTTATTATAAGTTTGCTAAGTGTTTTAGGGAATCTACTTGTAATCAGCAGTACTAAAAACTAAGCCTATTTCTATTAAGTTAATTTCTCACGTGGTGAAAGTTGAGAGGCTGCCCATGATTGGTATTTTGCTTTAACAAAATTGCAATTCAAAAAGGCTTTAGTATTGATTACATTGGGCTTAAATTTTCTTTTTTTCATGTCCCAGTTTCTGTATTGTAATGACAACTGAGCTATGGAAGGATTTATGCCATTTATTTGATCTTACCAAATATATTTGTACTTTGAAGCAAACTTTAAAGTTTTTATTATCTGTCCTAGTAGCCACAAAAAAACTTTAAATTTTACTGAGTGAGTGTATTGAGGTAATTGAAAAAGTGTTTAGTAATACTCTTGGTTGCTGCTTTAAATCCCTAAAGAAAGAAAAATGTGTGTATTATTTTAACTGTTATATGTTTTGGAAGCAATTTTCCTGTGGTACTTAACTACCCTCAAGATTTGTTTAAATAAGTAAAACCCCGTTATTGACTGGTATACTATATCTTGTGATAGTTTTTACTCAGTGTGTTTTTGAGAAATCTAACACAGTAGCAGTTTTGTGCTGTAACATAGATCATAATGTTGGTGTTATTTTTCATACTTTTGATAGACCTTTCAATGGCAGTGACAGCACATTATCAGAAAATAATAGATTGTTAAACTTTCTAAAACTAAGACTTAATTTTAGTTATGTCAGATTCATTTTCTACTTTTTTCTTAAATGAAACTTTTTTCCTGTTTCTATATTGCACATGTTATTAACATCTCATTACACTGCTGTAAATTTTCAAGTGAAATGATCTGCATAGGCTAGACATTTCAGAATCTTTAGGGGATAAGTGATTTAGATGGTTGTACTTAGAATCTGGAGAGATGGGGTTTTTCAGATGTATCATTCTCTCTTCAGTAATTGCTGGCTTAGTTCACATACGAATAATGGGTTGGTTACAAATGCCTTTTTAAATGCCCTTTGCTTGTGTGCATGTTCTCACTCCCTCTTCCCTTTCTTTTCCCCTTCCTCTTCCTCCTCCCTTTCCTTCCTCTCTTCCTCCTTCCCTTCCCCCTACCTCCCTCTCCTCTCTGTTCTTTTCCTTCCCTCTTCCCACTCACATTTCATAAATCATTCATTTAACAACCCCTTCCATGTGTCAGGCAGTGTGGAATGAAGGTGCATAAGCTATCAGACCTATTTTCAGGGAAATCACAATTTAGGAGCTCACAGAGAAAGCAAAACAGTGCATATTGAATTATAAGCGTATTGATTGCAATATACAGTAATTATGATAAGTGCTATGGGAGGACAGAAAAAGACATCTAAATCAGAAAACCATAGTCCTCTGGTGGAATTGACATCTAAGCTGAGAGTTAAAGCTTTCGCCTAAGCAAAGAAGGGTAGAAAAGTGGTTCAGACAAAGGAAACAACAATGGAAAATAAAGAAAAAACAAAATGATGTATTTGAAAACTAAGTAGTTCACTGTGGCTGGATTAATTTAAAACATGTTGTGTTTGGGGTGGCAATAGGAGGGCAGTGATGGGAGATGAGGCTAATTTAAGGAGTTGAAAATTTTCTTGAAAGCTATATGGAACCACTGAAGGTTTTTAAGAAGGGAAAAAGATGTTGGATTTGTATTATGGAGAGATCCCTTTGGTAGTATTGTAGTGACTACAT